CACCCTCCTCCTCTACTCCTGAGCCCTGAAGATGAGATGAAAGTTCGGATTTAGGATTACGGTTGGAAATGAAGAAGCTAAGGGTTTTCATTCAGTATTTAACAACATAGTTTTTCTTTTAGACTAAGAAAGGAAGCAGCACCGCTGTCACAGGTTGGCATTAGCTATATAGTGTGCATTCCGAGTTCTGCCTTGTAAGTAGAATATTGTCCTATCTATTGTAGGTTTGGCCATCTGGACATATGCACCCTAGCTTGTTATAACCGCTTACTTATTAGGTAGACTATATAAATAGTATAGCATGATGAGACAATATATATATAGTTATAAATTTAGTAAGTGAGGTCTGGAATTCAGTGTGTAAATACAAATTATATATTTATTTAATATGTATATGTTAGTTATTTTCTATATATTTGGGGCTTCAAAACGTCTAAGAAAATTTAAACATTTGGTAATGCGAGCTGTCAATTAACAGTTCGCCCCACTCAAACGTCAAAATGCACAAACGTCTATAATTTAAAACGTTAAACCAGAGTTTACTATTACACAACACTTTCAAATTTTCAACTCGTTCAAATACGACTCGTAACACCCCCCTCCCCTCGCAGTACGGTAAATTCACACTTCCCTTCCCCCTCACGACCCCGCCAATGAAAGCATCCCCGCGTCCAAGGTACGTACCTCCACCATGAAACGGTTCTTGTTCATCTTTTTCCTGAAGTCCACAAGCCGCCAAAGTCATGACGATATATAAGCTCGATATCTTCATGAGAAACATGGAAGCTAAATAAAGAAAAGCACATCTTAGCTCCTAGTGACGCTAGCAATGGCGGTATGTAGTTACCTCGATGGACAATAACATGGGACTGAAAGATGGCGAGGCCATCAAGGTACACAACCCGTTTTCGCGGGACCTGATCGGCAGAATCCATCCCATGTATTGACCGCGTATGTATTGACCAACTGATTCTATTCGCTCCAATGATATCAATTTCACCGAGACGTTGGAATTCATATCCCCGGGGCCAAGAGAGTCAAGCCCAGGATAACCTTCCATGACGGGATGGGTGGTTGTGAATAGACTCCAGACAAAAAGGCCCGAAGTGTAATAGCTTGAAAGTCGTGTCACGATAATTATTCCGGCCACGAGATAGTCCAGTAACATACTTTATCAGTCCAGCGGCATCCAACCCCGGCTAAGCTCTTCCCGTCGAGCTCCCTCCATATACAAACGAGCATCCAGCATCCTTCGAGAGACAAACACTGCCGGCATTCCTTCACTCGAGCCAATCTTTTTCCAATTGACCCAAGATCAAGTTGCCCAACATGGCCTCTCCCCTCAATGTGTTGATGGTAAGTTTCCAGCATACAGAACCTGAGTGATACGATCACTAACTTGGTTAGGTCGGTACTGGTGAGTACACCACCGGCTTCGTCGGCGGCGGTGCCTCCGGCTCGGACAAGAAGGTTGGTGTTGTTGGACTGTCCATGTTCGATCTTCGTCGAAGAGGCAAGGTCGGCAAGCTTGGCATGGTCGGTGTCAATGGCACAAAGTTTCCAGCAATTCGTGAGTTCCCCCCGAGGCATGAAGCTTGGAAGCAGCCCTCGTACTGACCACCGTCAAACCTCCAGGGGAACATCTCAACAAGAACATTACCCAAGTCTACAACAAACTCGACACCTCGTTCGACTCCTTCCCCGCCGACAATGCCAAAGACCCGGAATCCTACAAGGCCGCCATCGACGCCCTCCAGCCCGGCGACGCCATCACCATCTTCACGCCGGACACCACTCACTACCCCATCGCCCTGTACGCCATCGAGCGCAAGATCCACGTCATGATCACCAAGCCCGCCGTCAAGGAGCTCGCACACCACATCGCCCTCCTCGAAGCGGCCGAGAAGCACGGCGTGTACGTCTACATCGAGCACCACAAGCGCTTCGACCCTGCCTACGCGGACGCCAAGCACCGGGCCAAGAACCTGGGTGACTTCAACTACTTCTACAGCTACATGTCGCAACCCAAGTCGCAGCTGCAGACGTTCGCCGCCTGGGCGGGTATCGACTCGGACATCTCGTACTACCTCAACAGCCACCACGTTGACATCTGCGACTCGATGGTGTCGCAGCTGGGCTACGTGCCCGTCAAGGTATCCGCCTCGGCCTCCACCGGCGTCGCCGTCAGCTTGGGGTGCCATGAGAAGACCGAGGATACCATCAGCTTGCTCGTCCACTGGCAAAAGGAGGACGATCCCACCAAGCACGCCACGGGCGTGTACACGGCTTCGTGGACAGCGCCGCAGAAGGCCGGCGTTCATTCTAATCAGTACTTCCACTACCTGGCGCAGGGCGGCGAGATCCGCATCGACCAGGCCAAGCGCGGCTACGACGTTGCCGAGGACTCGGCGGGACAGCTGATGTGGTATAACCCGTTTTACATGAAGTATGCGCCCGATGAGGACGGTAACTTTGCCGGGCAGTCGGGGTACGGATATGTGTCGATGGAGAAGTTTGTGGATGGGTGTCGGGCGGTGAATGCGGGTACGCTGACGCCGAGGGATTTGGATAACAAGGGCTTGCCGACGCTGAGGAATACGATTGCTACCACGGCTATTTTGGAGGCGGGGCGCAGGAGTATCGACGAGAATCGGGAGGTCAGGATTGAGAGGAAGGATGGGGAGTGGACGCTTATTTAGTTTTGATACCTCTGGTCCCTTTTTGTTCCTTCTTTGTTAACAACTTCAAAGAAAATCAATTTGGATCACGGGGTTGGTCATGACAATTCTCATATCCTTTTCACCACAGATCTTCACGGGTACCTGGCATGGAAATCACTCCATTGCTGTTTGCAAAGATGGACGGTAAATGTGAATGACCGGGGTATAAACTTGCATTTCATCGATCCGAACGAAATAGCATCCCTCGATAGCACCGTAACTTCATGCATCCATCCATCTCATAGCTAGAGCTTAGCACCTCCCTCCTCTACACCCCCTCGGCAGTCGGTTAGCCACCTCCCTCTCATGACGCAGAAAGAAAAAGTGTGAGATTTTTACTCGCCCAACTCCTTAAGAATAGCATCCTTCAGACTCTCCGGCTTAGTCGTGCTCGCCCACCTTCCCTTAACCTTGCCATCCTTTCCAATCAAAAACTTCTCAAAGTTCCACTTGATGCGCTTCAGCCCCATCAGGCCGGGCTTCTCGTTCTTCATCCACTCGTACACGGGCGTGGCGTTGTCGCCGTTGACCTCGACCTTCTTCATGATGGGAAACGAGACGCCATAGTTGAGCTGGCAGAACGAGCTGATCTCCTCCTCGGTTCCCGGCTCCTGCCCGCCAAACTGGTTGCACGGGAAACCCAGGATCTCAAAGTCGTTGGGGTACTTCTCCTTGATCTCCTTGTAGACGCTCTCGAGGCCTGCGTATTGCGGGGTGAAGCCGCACTTGGAGGCAACGTTGACGACGAGGACGACTTTGCCTTGGTAGGTGGAGAGCGGGAGTTCGGAGCCCTTCTCTGTTAAGCGGGGGGTGGGTTGGTTAGTATGGGTTAGGTGATGAGTGAATGATGAGAGAAATGGTGGGTGAGTGAGTGGCTTACTGTCGAGGGACTTGAAGTCGTAAAAGGTAGTGGCGGAAGACATGTTGACTGTTGTTGTCGCGAAGTGTCTGGGAGTGATTGGTTGGTGATAGAATGCTGGTTTGGAGACTGGCAGTTGAAGTTGTTGATGAGATGAGATTGAGGGTAGTTGTGATGGTTTCACAAGGCGAGTGAGTGCAACGGCTGATGAACGATGGCAGCAGCGGGGTATCATATGGTAATGAGAGATAATGGCAAAGATCAAAAGAGGTCGAGAATGACACGAGTGAGAAAGGCGAAAGGTGGTGCTTGTTATTTGAACGGGGATTGCGTGGCGGCGAGAACTCCCTCCGACGTTCGACAAAGGCCCTTGCTCACATTCGGAGAGAACAAGGATGAGGTGAGACAGCTACCCCGGCGCGGGTTCTGGGAGTTCCCGAGCGTGTGCCTGCGCAGTTCCAGCGTTACGGGGCGTTTCCCGCGTGGGGCCATTGGCTACCTACGGCGGTCCCTTTCTTGGTCGTTCCATCCCATCACGGCAGTGAGCACATGTTGAACATTCAACTCAAACATCTTCTTCGCGTCGATTTTCGATCCCGTCTTTGTGTTTCATCCGTTGTTTCCGTTGCTTGGCTCAGTCAAGCTTCTACTGCCGGTACCTTACCTTAACGTCTGTATTTGTTCTGGTCGATCTACTATTGCGATACTTCGGGACCCTTTGCTTTTGGTGTTCTGACGTGCTATGAGAATTACTAAGCAACAGCCCAGGCGCCTCGGCAGGGACCGTTTACTGTTCAAGGAACCCCGACCGAGCGCCCAAGTCGGCGTTGACATGCGCCGCCTATTTTCCGATCGCGGACGACTGCCCCGCTACGCAGGAGGGCCCTGAAGATCGGAAACTTTTGATATAAAGAACTCAAAAAGACACCCAGATGGTTCCTGTCACGCCATTTGGATTGGAAAGCTTACGACGCTCAAAACTGATTTCTTCGATTGCCCGGCAAACCCGTGGGTACACGCAGAGGAACCACCAGTGATGGCGGGGAACACAAATCCTTGGCTTTGACATCATCATTGCATTAGCGGGTGAGGAGTCTGATATTGGTGTCTCTGTGTTCGGGAACTCAAAACACCACAGTTTGGATCATGGTCTCCTTAGTCTTTCACAATTGAAGTGAATTGCAACATCCGATTGTTGGATTGTGAAGCTTCAGATCGAACAGAGGATGGTAGCAAAGACAAGCTCAAGACATGGGTCAAGTGCGAGGCAATGAATGTCTCCGAGTTGACATTCCCGTCCAAAAAAGGAAACTAACCGCAGCAATGAAGCGTGTGGGGTAGCTCGTGGCAGAGAGACGTGGGTAGGCCGTCAATAGCCACTCCGTTGACGTCGTTCGAGAGGTGGGACATGATCCCCTCACTTTCAGAGCCATCATCAACAACAACAAACTGGCGTTGAAGAAGATTCCAACGTTGATGAACACTTTGCTGCGTACTAACCAACTCGTCAAGATGGCTGCCCAGCAACAGAAAAGAAACATTGTCATTGTCGGTATGTTCAGTCACTTTTCTCCACTAGGGTAGGTTCCCCGCATAATCGATAGCTCTCAACTAACACAACATCACCACATCAGGTGGCGGCATCATCGGTTGCACAACCGCCTACTTCCTTACCCGCCATCCCAAATTCGACCCGGCCCAGCATACCATCACCCTCCTCGAGGCCAGCTCCATCGCCGCGGGTGCATCTGGTAAAGCTGGCGGTCTCCTCGCCCTCTGGGCTTATCCCGAATGTCTCGTTCCCCTCTCCTACCGCCTCCACCGGGAACTTGCCGATGAGCATAACGGGGGCCAGCGCTGGGGTTACCGGCAAAAGATCGGCTGCGGAACTATCGGTGCCGTCGTCAAGAATGCCGACCTTCAAGCTCGCGGCCAGGGGACATCAACTTCGACAACCGCCGACCTGAAGGAACCCGCCGACACTACCGCGGCAGCTCCCAACGCCAACCTTCCCATCCAAGGCACCGACAACAAAGACTCGAAAGATTCCGAAAAGGACTGGGAAAAGCTTCCCAAACAAGACACGGCCGCGACCTCCCTCCTCTCCGAATCAGTCCTCCCCTCTGACCTCGACTGGGTGGACTCCTCGCTCGTTCGCTCGTGGGACGTCATGGGCCGACGGGGCGAGACGGAAACCGCTCAAGCGCATCCGTTCCACTTCACCAACACCATGGCGGACCTAGCCGCCTCTAAAGGCGTCGATATCAGGTTGGGCGCCAAGGTCACCAACATCACCTCGTCCTCCTCCTCTCCCAACGGCCGGGTGGACACTGTCGAATACGTAGACCGCAATAACAACGACGAAACAAAGACCATCACGGACGTAACAGACGTGATCCTAACCGCCGGTCCCTGGACGGGTAAGATCCTGCCCCGGTCCAAGATCGAAGGGTTGCGCGCCCACAGCGTGGTGTACGAGGCGGAAGTGAGTCCGTACGCGGTGTTCACGGACATTGAGCTGCCGAGCGAGTGGACGCCGGAGCACCGAAGGGAAAAGGGGCAGAAGAGGAAGCATAGAGGTCATGTGGATCCGGAGATTTATGCGAGGCCGTTTGGGGAGGCTTATGCTTGTGGTATGTTCACTTTACATTTTTCTTTTATCAGAATTTGCTTTACCGTCCGCTTCTTTTCCAACCCATCATACCCAGGATACATACAACTTGGGATGACTGACAAACGAATCAAAACAAAACAGGCGAACCAGACAAAAACGTCCCTCTGCCCGAAACAGCAGATCAAGTCCAGTGCGACGAAGACCAGTGCAACGACCTGATTTCCTACATTGCCACCATCAGCCCGGTTCTCGCGTCCGCCCCCGTCAAAGCTAAGCAGGCCTGCTACCTCCCTCAGCATGTCCGATTTGGAGAGGAGAGAGGCCCGCTTATAGGCCAAACTTCTACGCCTGGTCTGTGGATTGCCGCCGGACATACGTGCTGGGGAATCCAGAACGGGCCAGCCACCGGCTTGTTGATGTCTGAGCTGATTTTCGATGGCCAGGCCAAGAGTGCGGACATTGACAAGCTGGACCCCAAGAAGTTCAAGGTTTAAAGGGGACGTTCGGATGGAGCGTCAAGTATGGGGCAGGGTGACAGTTCGAGTGGTGATGCGAACATGAGACACGATTTTCAGGAACGGGATTTACAACAGTACTATAGAGTAAGGCAGCGTTGCCCTCTTTTCAAATGTGCTGAGCGCATTATCTTTTATTTTGGAAGCGGAGATATGTTAAGCGTATCCCATCTAAAGTTCAGAGCGGCGATCATACATGCTTATCAAACCCACCAACACCACCCTTATCTTGACTCTTTTGCCATCTTTTGATATTCCAAGGCCCTTATCCTGTTTAAGTTGTATAGTCATTATCTTACATTGCCCTCGAAATTCTTTCCCTGTCGCCCTTCCCGCCCTACTAGTAAATCTGCGCGACTCACTCAGCCCTGCCACTGGAATCGGCTCTGCCTCAGCATGGTCATCAGCCCAATGGGCAGCAGCGCCTTGTCAACGACCGCCAAGCCACCAAACATGTCCACCACCTCCCGATGGAACAGCTGCACCACCCACTTGTCGTAGCTGCTCATGTTGTCCCACTCATCCTCATCCTCGAGTGCCGCCTTGACATCGCCCTTGAGCTCCACGTCCTTCGTGTACGGCTCCTTCAACAGGTTCCGGTAAAGCGCCGAAAGCTTCAACGACGTCAGCTCCCTGTGCCGCGTGAACTCCTCATAGCTCATGAAAGGCTCGCCCTCAAGGTCCTTGAACGAGTCTCCTCCTCTGTCCGAGAATCTGTCGTAGGAACTTGACTGCTTAACGCTGCGTTCCACCTCGCGCAACTCAAAAACCTCCTTCGCTCTGCGGTACGCAGTCTCTTCCTCCTCTTCGTATTCGGCCAGCATCTCCTCGGGTGTCTTCTCCAGGCCATCACGAATCAGGAAGAGCGAGACGAACGGATTACGGAGACCGAGACCGCCCATTGAGGTGGGGAAAAAAGAGGTATCCGTCGGGGATGGACGAGATGCCGAAGCGCGAGCTGATCATGTCCTTGACGTAGGCTCCCACCCCGGCGGCGTGGTCGGGGAAGAGCTTCTGCTGGATACGCGCGAACATGGCAAGCATGCTGTCAACGTGGGCGCGGCCGTTGCAGGCAGCGGGGCGGCCGAAAAAGTTGGTGAAAAAGCGGTCGCCGTAGATGTTCCAGGCTTGCACCCAATCGAACATACTCTGGCAAGCGGCGAGCTGGCGGCGCAACTCGTCGATATGCTTGTCGACTTTGGCCTCATCGATCTCGAAGTGGCCCGTTGAGGGGTTGAGTTCGAGGAAACCCCAGGTGATGGGGCCGGATGGGAGGTTGTGGCTGGTCTTGGCTGTATCCTCCTTGCCTGACTCCAAGTCCGCCTTCTTGTTCTTGGGAAGAATGATCGCCGAGCCTGTCTTCTCTTCATTGAGACTCAGCCCCAGGACCTCGGTAAACTCCGTCACCACCTTCCATGCCTTAGAGCACTTCTCCATGGTACCCCAAAGCCACATGTCGTCGTGAAGACGGTAGAGGGGAGTTCCATCGGCCTTCTGGTTGACAGCAAAGTCTAGGCAGAACAGCACGGACTCGCCCACAACGTCGGAGATTGTGCTGCTGATTGGGACACCACGCTTGCGGACGCCAAAGGCAGTGTCAGTGGGATCTTCCTTGAACCTGATGGGAGCCTCTAGCACACGCTTGAAAAAGTCAAGCCACTCCTCGTTGAAGCCAAAGAACTCCATCACGGCGAATATGCTCGAGTGGGGCAGTCCAGGCCCGAACCATCTGAAATCGGATCGGATGACACTTAGTTCATTACCCAAGTGCCTCTGGACGAGAATGTCGGATTCAAGCCGGTGCATGAGACCCTGTACCACTTTTAGGGGCGCGTCTCTCGTATCCTGCTCCTTGTCCGCATCCGCCTCCGAGGAATCATCATACCCGCCACGGATCTCCCACATCTCCAGGGGGAGATGATCCAGCAGAATTTCATCCTTGAAGTAAGTATCGCGGTTTTCGGCAACGCTGCCGTAACTGGAGAGGGATTGTTTGTCGTCCAGGAAAAACTGTCGGCGTCTCGCATCCTGCTTTGACATGGGTCTCGTGTCAGGCTTCCATACGCCCTTGGAATCGACGAGATGCTTGAACTGTTGTCGAATCAAGGTTGCCCAGGTGCGGAAAATGTATTCGAGGAGCAGTGAATGCAGTAGGTCCTCGTCTACGAAGAACCTGTACTTCCCATTCAGAGCCCGACGCTGCTCGACCACCACAGGCTCCTCCCAGGTCCAAGATGCGCGCGCTTCTATACGCATGTTGAGCACATCCGCAATTTCCTGCAGGACGACCGAGTTGTTCGAAAAGTCGCGAAGGGTGCTGCGCTTCTCACCCGTCACGTTGTTGCTCCGCAGGATGCCCTCGATGCATCCCTTGACCACCTTCTCGTTGAAGGGGTGTGACCAATTCGAATGCTTGCTGTCCTGAAGGTCCTTGAAATTCTTTCTCAGGTCTGCCAGAGCACGCTGGCAGTCCTTTGAAGACCCGACGAAGACGTCCTCCAGATACTGCTTGATGGCGTCCTTATCCGTCTCCTTGGCGGCAAAAACAAACTCTTCCCACGTCTTCCTCTGCTCGTGCATCTCTTTCCTTCCAACGGGGACGAAGTCATCCTTAGCAACCCCGTCACCTCCTTCAACCCCTGTCTTCTTGGTCCATTCGTTCACCATTTGGCCGTACACGCTGGCAAATCTGTACTTGTTGCTCGTCATGTTCAACTCCTTCTTCACCGCCTCCTCGTACTCGCGCAGAAGAACCTCTGACACGGACGGGTCAAATGCCGCCTGCTCCACAAACCGCTTGAGGTTGGCGGCTGACAGCATGGGGTTACTAGCCTCCTTGATGGATGGCAGCTTGTCGCGGCCGTCGAGAAGGGTCTTTGCGCGCTTGCGGACATCGGTCTCCTTGTCGGCAGCCGAGATGAGAGCGTCTTTTGCGGTCTCGTATGCATCCCTTTGCTTCTGGAGCTGGTCCAGCTTGATGGAGGTGATGGAGGAGAGGGTCTGGGAGAGAATTTCTGAAGAGGCGGCCATGTTTGCGGGTGTTGATCCGAAGAAGCGTCTATGTTTTTTTTGGGTACGATGCGTATAAAGTTTTGACTATAATGAGTGGTAAGATTTTGCCGCTGGGGATCTGTTTCCAACGCGTTGTTTATCCACTTACTGGTGACGATTGAGCTCGATGCTGTCGATCAGCGGGTGAGAGAAGAAGATGAGAGGTTGAGTGTGTCCAGATCAGAAAAGATGGGAAACGAAGCGGAGGGCGGCCGCCCTTATGTACTCCATTGAAGAGGCACTGCCGCATGTTTATTGTCTATCACTGCCACAAACGAGTGGAGAGCCTTTTCATCTTGACGGACAGTTTCCCTGTCATGAGGCAACTTGGGAAGCTACAGCCATCCTGCAAACAGCGTTGATAGAAAATCCGTCCGGTGAAAGAGTAATGCCACCACCTCACAGTCAACGGCGAACGAGAGGGTTTAGCTGCTTTGGGACCGGCGAGTTGGTGTACCAGTCTTTGCTCTGCAGTGCACACAGTGTTTGGTGAGTCAACCGGCCAGGCCTGTCCGACAGGTGCGTATTGAACCTTTGCCTCCAGCTTTGTTGTTCAAAGTGTTTGAAGCCATTGAGCGTATGAAGAGAAGCAATCGCGACTGGTTTGATGAAAGAACAGCCCGGACGCTGCAGTGGTGTCGTTGGCAATTCGAAATGAAGCTTTGGTTTGTCAATTGCTCTTGCTGACGTTGGATTTCATCCGTTCTGAGGGAAACCGTAAAGGACTACCACAGTGCCCCAAACGTCCCTAGTGTAGTTCGTACAGGCCTGGAGATTACCCCTGCCAGCGGCGTGCGAATTGGGCTGGCCGGTTGCCAAGCCAAGGGTCAATAAAAAACATAGAAGCCGAATAGACAAGTCCAACATGTCTCGCTTTGGCTACGAAAGGCCGTTACAAAACTGTGATACGGATCACAAGAATTTTAAAACACATTAGCGAGACTTACTTATGGATTAGACCGTTCAGCAAACGCCTTGAGGATAGGTTTAAAGTGGTTGGGGAGATACTTGAATGTGTAATGTATTGACCGTGATGTGTTCGGTTTATTTTTACAACCCTTTTGGCTAGCTTTCATTGCTCGCCGAGTGGACACTGGGCTGCCACTTATGACGATAGAACAACACCTGGACCCATGGAAGATTCCGGTTGTGGTTTGTTTTTTGATAAAATCCGGAAAAAAGGACATGGCTATGGCATTCACGTTGAGTTTCTTCCTGGCCTTGTAAGTCTAGAACTTTAGCTTTTAACAAGTGAATGTGCTCGTCCATGGCGCCTTCTCTTTGGACCCAACGTAAATGGAAGCTACGAAACAAACGCGGAAAGTAGTAGGTAGCTAGCGATGGCCCGTCCTCCTTGCCGGATATGCACTTTTGACAGAAGCAATTCAATGATTCTTCAGAGTTGCGTGAAACCATGGAGCAATACCGGAGGGTTGCAAGCCGCCATCGATACACTATTATCAAGCTGAAGATCGTCCGTCCAGCCGGTGTTTCTGGACCCTTATTTCACTGGCCTTACCAGGGATTTTAGCGGCTACCTGCTAAGATGTCAGTGGCTTGGCCAAGACCTATAGGGCTGAAAAGGGGAGAGATGTGGATGGCATCACGTATGTAGCCGATGATCTTGGCGCTGGCTTCCTACCCATCTGTGAGAACCCATATACAACGGATACACCTCCGAGGAAGGGAAGCGAATATAAAAAGCGATACGGATAAAATGTCATAGTTATCATTCGAGTCATAATTACCACGTTCCCATCTTTTCCAATGCTACCCAACCAGACCGAGCACCTCTATCTACCTAGCCCCAACGTTTCGCCTCTAGTAATCCATCGGAGCGTCCGTAAGCGTCACTGGTGCATGCCCATGGCCAGTCGAGTTCTCCTTCTCACTTCCACTTTGCTGCTGAGAAGCGGTTGTGGAGGCAACCACAGGGATTCGACGGCCGGCCGAGATGCGTGCACCACTCCGACCCAAGCTGTTGCGCTTCTCTACCAAGCTGCTACGCTTATCCGCCAAGGGGTCAGCTGTCTCCGACTTGGGTGTCCCGGCCTCAGCGGGAGCAGCGCCATTCAGGTTTCCATCGGCTGGGTGGCTCAGGCTTGAACCAGCCTCATCCGGAACCTCGAGACTGGACCTCTTGGGCAGCACAGGGCCCAAGCTTGGCCTCTTACCATGCTGCTGGCTAGAAGTAGGGCTTGTGATACCGCTGGGGGAAATGGGGAACCGGGTCTCAGGTCCGCCAACGCTCCTGTCACGACGGTGAGCGCGCGGTCCCGGTGCAGGCGAGGTGGCTCTGCTTCTGCCGCCGTTGGCCTTCTCCAGGATTAATCGGTTTCGCTCCTCCATGTGCGCCCTACGGTTGCTCTCGTCGGTAGAAATTGCGCGTGGACGGTTGTTGTTTCCTGAAATGGAAGCAGACGCGCCAAGAGTGGACATGCGCTTCAATTCACTGAAGATCGCATCCTTATGCGCAAACAGGTCGCGAATCAAGCGGTAGGCGTGCTTCTCCTCCATGGTGAGTGATGTCTCGGTACGTGGGCGGAGAATGCATGGCGCCAAGGTAGTTGCCAGCTTGGCCACATAGTCCTCGTCGGCAGAAGTGAGCTCGATGAGGCGTGTAAAGTGGTTCATGCAAGCATCGAGCGTAGCAATGTTGGTGAGGCGTAGCTGCGACAGGGTCTGTTGGAGAACAGGGATACGGGCGTCTTCACTACTGTCTTGTGTTGTGTTGTAGATAGTTCGGATGATTTCGTAGACATGAGATGATACCAAAGAGTCTAAAACATCAGTGTCAGTAAGGCGGTGCCAAGATTCTACAGGATTATGGTGCAGAACATACCAGGGAGTTCAAGCAGGTAGAGCTTCAATAGACTGGCAACAGTGGCAACATCAAACTCGGCGAAGACTTCCAGCGAGGGAGGCTTTCCATTGTTGACCTTGTTGCGCAGTTTGTGAGTGTCCTTGAGGGAGACTTCATGGAGCCATACCCCACGACGAGCCTCATCGCCCTCAAGATCCGGGTAATGGTGATCCAGGTATGTTAGCAAGGTAGTGACAATGATCGGCACGCGCTTCTTATCCGCCCGAGCACGGGCCTCGAGATCAACACCAAATGTCTGCTCATCGACCTTGTTGTAGTAGTTCTCGTAGGTCACAACCTTGGGTACAAAGCTACCAGTCCGATAGTTCTCCAACAGATAACGGAGGTCGCCCAGTGGCTGGACCGTCTCCTGATAAAGCATCATGTTGTCCACAGTAGACTGCAGACTGGGAATGACGTTGCTGATGGTACCAGAAAAGTCCAACACCACGGTCTTGATAGCCTTGAGCCTGTCAAGCTCGCAACGCTCGAGGAACTTGAGGTGCAGAAAGATGGCCTCCTCGAGCTCACAACGCATCTCATCCAGCTTCTGGACAGCAGCCTTGTACTTCTCATCTGCCTCTCTGGCCTCACGTCGCATGCGCTCAGACGGAGTCTCGTTAGGGCGCCCATTATTGACGCCGGGGATGTTCCAGTTGGCAAGATACTCGCTCACGGCACCGACAACTGGCGAGTCGCTTCCTTCGGATCCGTTGGACAGGGGCATCGAGAATGTTCTGTTAACAGGCGCCTTCTTTTCCGGGACACCGGCCAACTTGAAAGCCTGGGGGCGCCATTGGTAGAACATCCTGGAACTGTTGGCGAAGGTGTTTCCAACATTACCGATCAAACGCAAGAAGCCGTGGGTGATAAGGTCCTGGCCGATTCTCTCCGCGTAACTGACGCTCGTGGTGCCCATGTGCCGTTGAAAGTATTCGACAATATCCGTGCCAGCCGATGTGTTCTGGTACGTTCCCAGAATTGGGACCTTCGTTTCGCCCATCTTGATGTTGTTGAGCATGTGGGCGAGGATCTTCTTGATCTGGTCGGGCGAGTAGGTCTCATCGCCAATCTCGAACGGCTCGTCATCTTCCTCCTCCTCGGGCTCAACCTTGATTTCGGGAATTGGTTGCTTGGGCTTCGGGCTCGCTGCGGATTCGGGGTCTTGGAAGGCCAACTTGTTTTCTTCCTCGAGATCCTCTACCAGGCGGCACTTGTTGAAATAGTTGCTGCGCAGCTTCTTGACCACTTCAGCCTGCTTGTCGTGGGCCTTGATCTTTGCCTGGAGCTCTTCCTGCGAGTTTTGGAGTCGAGATTCGTGGGCGTCGCACCAGCGCGTAAAGGGGTTCACAACTAGGTCTCGAATGTTCTGCGCAATCTTCTTGTGGTTCTTGGAGGCGTCCTCCATCTCGGTCCGCACACCTTCATAAGCCTGGCGGAAACATGTTAGTCAAAACCATCTCAGCGATGATGAAGCCTGGTGTTTGCCGGCATGTGATTCGTACCTTGCGCACGCTTGCGCCATCGTCGCGGTTGAAGCCGTTTGGAATCTTGTCAACGGCAGGGGCAATTTCGGATAGACGTTGACCATATACGTCTTCGGCTTCGGCGCGCATGCGAGCGATGGTCAGGAGTTGGCGGTTTTCGACCACGCCTTGCTGGAGCTTGCCAAACAGGACCCCGAGGCCTGAGCACATCTGCGTCAGCACCGTCGACAACAACGAATAGTCAGCGGATCCACTGGGGGACAGCCAGACTACTTACCTGCGGCGTAGTCGTTGGACCAGAAGGAGTCCGCGAAGCCCGGCATTGTGGTGAGGAGGGCTATCGCTCGACGGTGTATGTCGGTGGTATGTAGCTTCGACGATGATGTTGGGACGAATTAAGGCGGGATGTGGGAAAAGTTGTGGCAGCAGGGGCAGCCAGAGTTTTGGTCGGCGTGGTGCTAGAGTGAGGCTGAGGCAAGCAGGATCCCAGCTGACAATCCTCGCCTAGTTCTGATTGAGGAGAGGCCGGTGAATACGGTATGCGATCCGTCAGGGCAGGTCCAAGTCGGTCCGGGGTGGTTGATTCCGTCAGTGTCGTTCTTTGAGAGTTGAACTAGGCGGCGGGAAGGTGGGTAGGTTTGGCGGGTCTGGGATTAAAGGGGGGGCGCAGCGCCGCCGAGTGGCCGGGGATGGAGACGACGCAGGCACCGTGACAGCGGCGGGGGTGTCTCTTAACGGAGCACAAAAGTCGGTCTCCTTGTCGTGGGATCCAACTATCCGGATAAGGGCTTGGAATTCTCTATCTGGATAGTGTAGGTAGTGGTGTCAATGAAGTTGGCGATAGGCGCCGACGGAGCTAGGAAGGAAACAAAGAATCTGATACAAGAGCAAAATCGCCTGCTAAAGTGTCCCAATGGAAAGAAGTTGAAGAAACACTTGGGGAAGTGAGCTTCAGGGGAGGGCTCAGACAGAGAAGCAAAGTGGAAGAACACAAGCAAAAGTCGATGTTGTGGTCGCAGTGCGAAAAGGGCAGTGAGCAGAAGGGACGAACTGGCATTCGTGAAACAGGGGCAACACACAACTTCGTAGTACCCTACAGCACGCAGATGGATGCACTCAGAATTGGAAGGCAGGATGGATGCGCTTGCAGGTGCAGGCCGAAGTGGAAGTGCAAGTGCAGGACGGTGTCCACTGGAAGGTGTCACGGTGGATTGTCTCGTCGGGCAGCCAGAGGTTCTCTCGTTCAGCACGCCAGTTGATCTCCAAGTCCTCACCCAGTTCCAAGTTTCATTGGAGGGGCAGCGTCAGAAGGAAGGACCGTCGGGTCCACACGTGAGGTACATGTACGCCCTAAAATAACCTCAACGTCTCGTGTAGGGGTCGAGGGGTCTTTGGAGATGGAGCCTAGATTTCCCGTGCTTGTTTTCTGGAAAGTTGAAGATGGTCCGCGAGTGCTGGGCTGGCTCTGGCTGAGACCTTGGGCTGTGAACCCCACTGTGGGCGTCCCTCGTCGAATCCCATGTGCCAAGACCTGAGCCTCCTTGACTCTCATCACGGAGTAAGCATCACCATCGGGCAGCGGGCAGTTAGCCGTCAGCAGGGTCACTATCGCCGAGGAGAGACAATCAAATGAACGGTTCAGTTTACTATCGTCCTTTGAGGGCCTTTTTCCCCTGGGTGTAAGATAGAAGAGGAATTTGCAAAGGTTTTGTGTGGTCAGTTATTAACATGGATTCTGCGCTTTAAAGTTTCCACATATGACGCCAAGATACCCCAGATCTTAGTGCAGCAACACCCTCAAGATGCCGAAGATGGTGTGGTAGCTCGAGTCTTCATCCCATGTCATCTAAACACCAAAATACTGTGTCTCGTTCTCCCTTATATACGATGCATCGTCGATTTAAGGGCTATGATTTACACGCTTCTTTTGCATTCGACTCGAGACGTATGCATTTCCAGGTCGGGCTGACCGAATGACAATGCGTCGGGCTACCTCTCTAAGATGAAGTAACCCCGCTAAGCTTTAGGCGATTTCTAATCCTTCAACGACGACACATGGTAAACACTCTGCCCTGTTTTAACAACTGTGACCCTAAACTCACTCCTCTCTTTTCCCTTTCCCTCAATCATCGCGTTACCACAATCGTCGGTAAAGAAAAAGTCGTCCTTGAAAAAATGAAAGAAGAGAAGTCCCGCGATGTCGGGGACGTTGAGCGCTTAGATGCTCCTAACACGCGCCAACGGCGAGGAGTTGGCCGCAAGTTCTGGGGCGCCGTGTTCATCTCGCTTTTGTTGCTTCACGTCTTCCTCCGGCCCGTGAGCTATGGCATGTCGGGTTGCATGACAGGTTCTTCGAGTGAGAAGAACATTGAAAGACGCGTGAAGTACATCCTAAAACACACTCCATTGATCGGTAAGACCACAGATCAACAGCAATTATTACCCCAGAGAAGAAACAAATACTAACAATGTGACTAGATGGACACAATGATTTGCCCATTATGCTGCGCTGGAAATTCAACAATCACATCAATGACAAGAACTTCACCACCGGCTGGGAAGACGGCACGCTCCCCGGCCATGTCGACCTTGCGCGCCTGAGAGATGGCATGAACGGAGGAGCTTTCTGGAGCTTGTTTTGGCCCTGCCCTGCCAACGGCACCGATTTCTCTGATGAAAACTATCTGCCCGGTTGGTCCAATCCGTTTACAACACTTCCTACATAGGCTACAAAGAAACTGATACAATCATTGTCACCAACCTCTAGCCGTCGAGGCAACACTCCAACAAATCGACCTAGTCGACCGTCTCCGCGCCGCCTACCCCAAGGACTTCGGCCCGGCCGTCTCCAGCAAAGGGGCTCTCAAAGCCTGGAAGCACCACAACCAGCTCATCTCGCCTATGGGCATCGAAGGTCTTCACCAGATCGGCAACTCGGCCGCCACTTTGCGCCGCTACCACGCCCTGGGCGTCCGCTACGCGACGCTTGTTCACAACTGCGGCAACAAGTACGCCGACGCGGCCCTGCAGGAGAATCCGTTCCGGAAAGCGCCCTCCCACTGGGGCGGCGTCAGCCCGGCCGGCGAAGCCCTGGTCAACGAGATGAACCGCATCGGCATGATCGTGGATCTGTCCCATACCAGCGTCGAGACCATGAAGGATGTTTTGGGAGGGACCGGTAAAGAATGGAACGGAAGCAGAGCCCCCGTCATCTTCAGCCACTCGAGCGCCTACGCGCTGTGCCCGCACCCGCGCAATGTGCCGGACGATGTTTTGCAGCTGGTCAAGCAGCGCAACTCGCTGGTTATGGTCAACTTCTCGCCGGACTTCATCTCGTGCGTGGCGGCCCCGGAGAGGGACGATGGACTGCCAGATTTTGACCCGGAAAACGCGACTTTGGAGCATGTGGCTGAGCATATCATTCATATTGGCAAGCTGATTGGGTATGATCATGTCGGTCTCGGCAGCGATTTTGATGGGATTCCGACAGTTCCCAAGGGTCTGGAGGATGTCTCGCGCTATCCGGATCTGGTAGCTGAGCTGCTTAGACGTGGTGTTAGTGATGCGGACGCGAGCAAGATCGTGGGCGGAAACATCCTCCGCGTGTGGAGCGATGTTGAGCGTGTGGCGGTTGAGATGCAGAAGGTTGGTGAGCCGGCTCTTGAGGATGATCTGAAAGACTTGATGCCTGAAGAGTAGAAATATGAGTGGGGGTAAGGGAGTAGATAAGTGGATGTTTCCGTAAAGCTTGGTTGGATAAATAGCTACAAAATTAGCCTTCATGTTCTAGGCGGCTTATATCCGATACAAGACCTGGCTAGCATATGAACTAGATGATGGGGTTATTACAGACGGCCGTCATGATCCGAACACCGTAGTCGAAAAAAAAAAAAATTTGTCTTAACCCGATGAATTGTCCTACAACGCCGCGCCTAATCCCTCTCGCGTCTCAGCGTGGTTTTGTTCTGGCTTGACGTATCGTACACTGAGTCTGCCTGCCCGCCTGCCCTAATAGCTCGTCGACACCCGGCTAAGCCAGGTCAGGCGCAACTCGTTCTTCTCTTCTGCCCATGTATTTGATCCCAGCCCCGGACCACCGAAGCAAGTGTCGAGTAAAGAAGTTGCTCCAGGTATATCCAGATGCCGTGATGTTCCTTAACGCTCCCATCACCCTCGTCGACCCGCTCAACCGTGGCGCTCGATCTTGTTGAGCTTCCTCGCGTTGGCGATCTGGTTCCTCGTCTGTTGACCGCGCACGGGCAGACCCATGGCATGACGACGACCGCGGTAGGTACCCATATCACGAAGGCGCTTGATGTTGTCCAGCACCAGCCTCCTGGCGTCGTTCTCGATGGTCATGGTCGACAGTTCGGCCGTCAGCGCGGTGACGATCTTGGGCGGGAGGGTGCCCATCTTGGCGCGCGGATGGATTGAGTATTTGGCCAGAATGCGGGCGGAGGCCTGCTGGCCTAGGCCGTAGAAGCTCTCGAGAGCTTTCTGTGGTTTGGGAGATGAGAGTTAACCGGGGTGGTTCTTCCAGGACATCGTGGGAGTGCAAGGACGAGGACGAGGGCAGCGCACCTGGACGAGCTTCTGCTCATTGAAGTTGACTCCCAGGATGAACACCTAAAGACGGAACGTTAGAACTCTGTTGAACAGCGATAACCTAGGGAATTGTAGGGGCCGTAGGTACCATCTTGTTAGCCGACGATAAGTTACCTTGTCGCAATGGGCATAACTCGGTTCTGGAATCGCGGAGGAGTCTCGACTCTCCAAGCAACCGCAACTCGCGATATGGAACCCGGGCGTGCAGGCTTGCCGGGCAGGCGACGGAGCGTGGGGGAGCCCGCATTGGCCAGCGAAAATCCGCAGTGGAGCATCGGGTGCTCTGAGCAGCTGGAGCTTGGCATTCCGCCAGCTGGCAGCCTAAAAGTTACCAAGCCCGATGTACCTCTGTAAACACTTTACCGTATGAGTCTTGCAAAAAGAAAGCCAAAATTTCATGGCGATGTGCCAAATGTAGATGAACAACCACTCACCATAATCCCAATCAAAACAAAATCATGACAGTCGACTTTACTGCGAGGCCGGAAAAGCCTCTTCCGTACTCGGATGAGTTCTCATCTGCGGACGAATATGTCGACAGCCTGCTGGACTTTGCGACCAATTCCCACCTTTTCCAGTTTCTCTGTGGTGGTGTTCACATTCTAGACTTCTTCACCAGCGAGCCCGGCCTCTTCGTCTCTGCGGTGCCCAAGGAATGGCAGGACTACCTGGTGCAGACCGAGCCCATGGTGCTTTTGGATTTCTTGATGAGAGATGATCTCGACGCACTTGCCGGACAAACTGGCCCCGAACAACAACCTCCAGAGACGCTGGTTCAGTATGTCAAGGACATCAGGAAACTTTCTTTGCGCCGCTCCTTTCAACCAAGCAAGCCGAAACTACCAGTACTCCCTCGGCAGGTGGCTCTGGGCATGAACACCAAGAAAGTCCACGAGGTCACTCACTTTTCCGGATACATCGACAGACTCTCTGAGGACGTCGCTCGGGTTAGGGGACAGGAACTGACGCACTTGGTAGACTTTGGCAGTGGCCAGAATTATCTGGGCCGCGCTTTGGCGAGCCCTCCGTACAACAAGCATATTGTTGCCGTGGAGAGCAAGGAGGCCAACACAGCAGGCGCCAAGGATCTCGATATCCTGTCCGGTCTGGCTGAGCGGGAGAAGAGGATACGCAACAAGAAGCTCTACCATCGTATTATGGAAAGCGTAGACCCATCAGAAGTCAACGACGAAGAAGCGCTGAAGCGCGCCGCAAAGGCATTGGGTGTGGCAGACGAAGATATTGCCACCATTGACCTCCGATCGAGAAAGGAGCTTCAGGCCACTTATGCGCGGGAGGAAGGAAAGGGCAGCATTGAATATGTCGTCGCCAAGTTGGGAGATGCCGATTTGGCCCCTGTTATCTCGCAGCTGGAGTACACGGAAACCCACAGCGAGGATGATCTCAGCATGATGGCCGTGTCCATTCACTCATGTGGCAACCTCTCTCACTACGGCATCCGGTCCATGGTTCTCAATTCATCTATCCACGCCGTTGCAATCGTGGGTTGCTGCTACAACCTTCTTACCGAAAAGCTGGGACCTCCCACTTTCAAGCCTTGCTTCAGTCGGCCAACCCTTCAGCCACTGAATGCTCGTGTTGTCAGGGAGTCCGAAAGACGGGATCCCCAGGGGTTTCCCATGAGCGAGAAGCTCTCTACCTACAATGACCAAGGCATCAGACTCAATATCACAGCCCGTATGATGGCGTGTCAAGCACCCGGGAACTGGACCGACAAGGAGAGTGATGCCTTCTTCACCCGCCACTTCTACCGCGCCGTCTTGCAAAGGATATTCCTCGACAAGGGTGTCATTTCAAAGGTTTACCACGGGCCCAGCGACGGCGAGGGCGAGGAAGAGGGCAAAGAAAGCCCCTTCAACTTCAGCACCAACCCCGTCGTAATCGGCTCACTCAGGAAGCAATGCTACACCTCCTTTAGCGCGTACGTCCGCGGAGCGATCACCAAGCTGACGACCAACACGGACTTTAGCCAGTACAGCCAGATCGTGCGCGAGAAGCTGAGCGACATCACTGACGAGGAGATTGCCAAGTACGAGGCCGCGTACCTGCCCCGCAAGAGGGAGCTCAGCGCCATCTGGAGCTTGATGGCCTTCAGCGCGATGGTAGTTGAGTCCCTCATCGTGACCGACCGGTACCTGTTCCTCAAGGAACATTCCGACATCGTGCGCGACTGCTGGGTGGAGACGGTGTTTGACTATGGCCAGAGCCCCCGGAACCTCGTCGTCGTTGGTATCAAGAAATAAAAGAAAGATGTGTGTAGCAGGAAATAAAATGAATGTCGGATGAGTGCCTTCTCTCCTCCTCCCCAGCCACCTCACTTTCTTTCACACGCATATGTACCTCTGTGTACCTACAACATTCCCTTCGAATATCGTACCCCTGGGATATTTGCGGGGTGTTGCACAACATTTGACTTGTGTTGACCTGGTATTACCTATACTGTGTCCATCCAGGTTATCCTATCCCACTTGCCTATCTCTCCAGGGGGTTATTCCGCCGCAAATGGACAGAATTGCAGGACGGTCGTTTCGAACCTCTGCACGCCTTCGGTGCGCGTAGTGGCCGCATTCTTCTTCGATAGGGAACCGCCAGCTAGCATGTCGCAATACCTGACAAGGTTGAGGCGATCTGTTGCACGCTGCAGCACGCCCCTGGATCGGAGGGCTCTGTAGCCTTCTTGCAGTCTGCTGTTGCATCTTGAGCTGGACAAGAAGACTCGAGGCCCCGATTGGTATCAACTGTGGTCTTTGTATGCCATGTCTTCATCTTCACATTTCTTGATAGCTCGCTCGCAGAAAGACGCTGTCACGAGACATTATACAAGTCAAACTCGGGCCGATATAGGATGCGCAACCCTCCTCCTCCTCCGGGGGGCACAAGCCCGGGTACCTCGACCTGTCAACCAGGAATATGTGCCAGAACCAGAATGGCAGAGCAAACCAGAACATACATTTAGTGAGCTCATTTGGCCAATCATACGAGAACCGAACAAAGCTTTTGAAACAAGGCGTTTCTTTCGCTGCGTTATCTCTTGTTGTACAAAGGGCTAACCCAGGTTTCTCGGGTGGCTTCTGACAGTTACAGTGCCGTTTTCCTTTCCAGATGACCGGTGTGTAACTAAGAGGCAAGGAAATTCTCAGGTGAAGGCTTGTCGAGAAGCTGGCTTGGTCTTTCTGAGGCTGAGATATAGGGACGTTGCATCAACTACCCCAGAGCGTGCAATGCCTCAGCAGTCCGAAAGGAAAACAAAAACTGATAGATCTCTTCCTCTCCATCCCATGCTGGCTGTTTGTCCAGGCTGACGACCGAAAATGGAAGGCAGGCAGGCGGGGGGTTCACCGTTCGGGATTTGAAATTTTTTTTTTTTTTTTTTTTTTTTGACGCCACAAGAGAAATTTCCCCACACACACGCTTAGAAGCACCCCCGACGAGTGATGAGATCTCAGCTCTTCCCACGCCGGTCAAATCGTCATCCCTTCCTAGGTTCATCATGGCGGCTCGCAGGTCGGTTGTCAGCTCTTTTGATGGTCGGAGAAAGAGCCAACGTCTCTTTCGTGAGGGTTGTTGTCGTGGTGGTGGTGCCAGGTCGTCACCTAGCAATGGCATGAAGCTGAATGGATGTTGAAAGAACAATGGCTGGCTGGCTGGCTGATAGGCAACCTTGAAAGCAAAGTAGAGATGAGGTTAGGTACCTGCGTTTCTTTCTTCTACATGCCCACAGCAGCCTACATGCTTATTGCCGTCATTGTACGTTAGAGAAGGATGCATTGTAACCCATTTTTTTACTCCCGTTCGTCCAGAGCGTTGGTGGTGGGAGGGTTTCCTTTGAGAGGACTTGCCTTGTTGGGCTTGAAGTTGGTGGTGGTAATGGTGGTGGTGACGGTTGCGTAAAAGTAGCTGTACATAAAACGTCGTCCTAGTCGTCATCCACTTATGGGAACGTGCTTGGTGATGATGATTCAATTCGGATAGCTAAACCACCGCAGAAGGTGAATCGATTGTCGAATCCGCACACCGAAGTCAACATCCCGCAAAGACAAAAGCAATGTGAGACAGAAGTTGTCGAATGTTTCAAAAAGAAAGGCCGACATAGGTTCTAGGCTTGTGGGATCTCGAGCATCCCAAAAGTGCTAGATGTACTACCCGAGGTGACATGACAAGCGCCGGCGTTTACCTGCACATGCGCAAGCACGGAGGTGGGAAAAGAGATGAAATAAATGTTTAGGTGATGTACCAGCATGCACTTCATCTGAAATCATCGGGGTTTCTGTAGAAAGACATTGTTCACCGGCTTCGTTTTTTGTTTTTTTTTCTGATATTTTGGTTGTCGGTGTTTTGTCGGATTAGGTATTCTATCACCCTCACCCCCACCGCCTGGCACCTGCCTGCACTGGACACAACGTTTGCAATTGCACTACCAGAGGAACTGCCTATCATCAACCCCCTGGGTATGCAACCCGGTGACCATTCCAAATATCAAATTTAGGGGGCTCGCATCACTGTGACCTGCATTCCATAAGTAGCATTGATAGCCCATAGCACTAAGATACTGCGTCGCATGTAGGCATCATCATCATACTTATGCAGATGAACTTTTCTTCTAGGTTCTTAGTCCGATTGTCCAGCTTGAGACTAAACTATTTTGGACCTGGCCAAAGAGGTTCTCGAACACAACGCCCATCATTTCCCCAAGTCCCTCCACTTGCACCACTTCCACCCCCGGCTTACAGCACAAGTGGAATCACAGACAAGAGGTACCTCTACCTTATCAGTTCGTCTCTCGGGCCCAGACGCGGCCCTATCCCCTCGTCCCCCTCCCCCACCGATCTCGGGTCCGGTCCTGGCTCTGTCCCCCGCCAAGCTTTTACCTCACAAAGAGAAGCAGGCAGACAAGCAGTTAGAGAACCGACGGAAGGAAGTGAAACTGGAGAAGCAAGTCACACGCTCACATCTCTTCCATTAAGTCATCACTTTGACGAACTTCCATTTGTCTTCGACATCCTCATCATCTCCCCAATTTCTTTTTACTTTTGCTTTCGTTCTCCTCTCCACCTCAAATCCCTTTAATACCTAGGTACCCTACCCTTTTATCTCTCTCCTTTTGGTTGGGACTTGACTCATCCACCCAACCATCCTCCAGTCCACTTTCACAATCTCCTATCTTATATACTTTTGACGATACCCCGCCCATTTAGTTCCATTCCCATCTCGCTCCTATCCTCGGGGACTGTTGCTCGCTCCTTCAGGCCCATCGACCGAGCCTACCTTACATATTTCACCAAAGGCCACCAAGCCAATTCTCCTATCTATCTCCTATCTCGCGGATCGACAATCAACCAACAACAACAAGACCCTGTGACGTGACAGATTGCATTGGCTCGTGCGGAACAGATCGGGAGTCGGGACAGTCACCTACACTACAAGCCAAGAGGACCCCTCAAAACGCATATCACCTTCACCTTACCCAGGTGTTACTCCAAAACTGTTTACCTACAACTCGACTCCTCTTTTCGAGAGACGTCACAAGGTCACACCTTGATCACCTCATTTTTCATCACTCAACCGACTTAAACCGACTCCATCTGAAATTCAAAAGGAGAACAAGGAGACAAAAGTGGGAAGGGTTTCCTCCTAGCGTTTCTTCGCCTGATCAACCACCAAGACGAAGTCTTCTGCTAGGGTCAACAAGGAGTTTCAAAAACTATAAGGAGCAGTCAACACACATACACTCACGGCTATGAACGCACAAATAACCTTCCTGGTAACTAGACCTCTCTCATTTTGTTTTTCCTTATCCCAGTGTTTTCTTCCCTCACAATGCATCACTAACGCTTGCTCACAGGATGGAACACTGAGTCTAATCCACATACCCCTCCCTCTCTACCCAACTTTTCTCCAACCCATCCTCCAAATCCTTCTCCCACCCAGCCAACCATTACCATCAGACATCAACTCGTCATCAACAGCCATCCACCATCACCACCAAGATGAAACAACCTTCCTAAACATCTCCATCACTCCCCTCGAATGTTCCATCGTGTGCCCCTCCTCCTGGGCCCGCACTGTCTTCGAGCCCGCCATCGCGCGCCTCCCCAAAGACCAAGCAAAGACTATTTCGGTTTCCAAAGATGCTTACGCCGTCTTCTCCGTCATCAGCGCGGGCATGGACGCCGGCTCGCGCGTCGTCGATTTGACCTGCCCTTTAGCGCTGGCGGGGATCCCGATTTTCTTCATCACGACGTATTACTCGGATTTCATCCTGGTGCCGACGAAAGACCGAAAAGCGGTGGTGGAGACGTTGAGGGCCAAGGGCGGGTTCGTGTTTGTTGAGGAGGAAGGGGGCGATGGAGAAAATGGGTTTGAAGGGTATGGGTACGGGTCGAGGAGGGGGTCGGTGACTATGACGTCCGGGACGATGATGGGGTATCATCATCATGCCAGGGGAGGATCAAGTGGAAGTGGAAGTGCCGGCGGGCTTGGTGGAATGTTGACCCCGTTGACTAGTGTGCCGACTACGCCGCCGCCGTCGGATGCGGGCGAGCTGCAGCTCAAAACGTTTGAGACGCTCAAGAGGCGGAATGTGGTGCCGTTTGTGGAACCGGGACTGAGGCTGGTGCATTGCTCAGGGAGGGAGAAGACGAGTATCCATGGCGGCGGAGGGGGCGAGGGCGGACGCGGGCATGGACATAGTAACTCGATGACCGGCGGCGAGAACGGTGACACGAATGGCAGCGGCGGTTATCCAAGGAGGAGGAGAAACAGCTGGATCGACACGGTCGACACCAAGCTGTACACGAGCATCATCTCGGCACTGGTGTCGCAGCCCCGGTTCCTGTCGGTGACCCTGGCGCAGGATGACCCCCCTAGCTTGCTGCTGGACAAGGCGCTGGTGGATCTGTTCGGCGACTCGCTCGTGGGACCGACGGAGGGCACGCTGGTGCCCATCTTTCTCGACCTGGTCAACTTGCCGTTCGAGGCAACGGGCATCGTTTCGGGGGTGGCCGGGCGGTTGGTCAAGGACATGCCCATGACCGAGAGCGCGGAGCTGTCATATTTGTCGACGGCGAGGGCCGGCGCGGTGATCTTGTCTTGTGAGCAGGCTGTGACGGCTTTGGGAATCTTGGAGCCGTTGCTGAAAAAGCAGGGGTGAGTGAGACCGTCATTGTGGTGATGCTAGGCTGAGAAGGACATGTTGTGTTGCGTTGATGTTCTCTTTGATTGGCCTTTGATGTGCGGAGCTTTCGGCTTTGAGAATAGCCATTCATGGTGAAAAAAAACCGGCGCGAGGGTAGTCGTGCATTGGCTGTAGTCTTCGGGAAAAGTTGCATGGCTGGACGGAGCTGGATGGTGTTTTGACTGTGATCTAGCGAATAATTCATTTTGATTCCCGCTAAATAGCCGTTGTAGATCTTGTCGTCGTCGGTCCTTGGTGTTTATTGCTGTGCCATTATTGTCAGCACTCAAAGCTGGGCGATCTTGAGGCTATCACCACCACAAACCTCCTCATTTCCCACCCTTCTTTCTCCTCCCCTCCTGCTTATTCTCCTCCTCCACCAACCCCGCCCTAACAAACGCATCCCTTGCTGCGCCATTGATCAGCGCAAACCTCCTCGGCCCCAGCTTCTGGCCGCCATACCACCGCGTCACCACAACCATGGTGTCCCACAGGTCCATCAGCTGCATCAGATGCAGCAGCCTGCCGCCGGCCGCCGTCTCGCCGTCGTCGTCACAGTCCTGGAACGAAGTCCCGTTCGGCCCCCGGATCCGCCACGCCGTGATGTTATGCGTGGCCGCCCGCACCCGCTTGTCCGACGCCAGCAGGTGCTGCAGGTACTGCGCCGCTTGTGCCGGAGACGAAACGGGCGCGCAGCGGGCGATGAAGGTTGATTTTAGTTCGATATGGGGCAGGGAGAGCGTCCAGGGTGGTTCGGGGCCGAGTTGGTCTCCTCCAGATCCAGTGTGTGAATCTGATGAGGGAGCATCTGCGTCATACGATGATATTTTCTTCTCGCTGTCTTCCTCTTCCTCATGGTCATCCTCCTTCTCCGCTGTGGTAACTGCGGCTATAAGCTCCTTCACTTGCTCAATGGCGTCGAACAGACAGACTTGTCCAGGCTCGTAAACCTCGCCGACTGCGTCCCGGAAGAGAGCCAGATCCCGAGCGGCGGCGCCGCGCTTAGCGTGCTCGCCGGAGGAGTGGGTGCCGAGAACCACGGGTGGTTCATCGGGGTAGGCTGGGGGGAACTGGAGACGGAGTGTTGATGTGGTGACTTCGTCGGGAAGGGTCAGGATGTAGGTGGATGGTGACTGTGAGTCGTCGGATGGGAGGAGGGTGCCGTCGCCGTAGATGGAGTTGATGGCTTCGAGCTCGTCGGCTAGTTGTTCGGACATTGTGAGTCGTATGATGAATGGTGAGCTTCTCTTGATGATTGTGGTTGAGGATATGTTCTTTATGCTGGCCTGGCTTAACAATGCTTTACTTTTTCATTGGGCTTAGTCATTAAGGACTCATATGGGCTGTCCGACACCGTAGTCGTAAAGAGTTTTGAAGATGTGTTGCAAACGCCATCATGTTCGAGGCCTACCATGAGCAAGAGATATTTACAGAACATGGAATGGCGTGGAGGGGTAGGTACCTGTAAGTGCGGATCCACTTTCTTATCTTCATGTACCTGTTCCTTACAACCCGTGATCAAGGTACATTGGATCTGTACTGCTGAAGCTCGATGTGAACTGTCGACCTGGAGTTGTCAAGAACGTAAAAGACGCATATGCGGCTGGAGATGCACATCAACTGCTCAGGTGAAATTCTACCGGCTCAGACAACTACATGGCACATGATGAAGAAACATCGAAGTGTTATACAAGTCAAGTACCTGAAATACCTGTACACCACTCAATGTCACCCTCAATGACAGGTCCACATCGCCAATCGCGCTCCAGGGGCATCAGTGCCGGTCCCCGTCCGAGATCGACGCCAATTGGTTCCCATTCCTGACTTGTCTCCAGGGGCCGAAAAATCCCCACGTTTCGGGCTCCCGCCTTGGACCTTGCAGGGCTTCGAATGCCGAGTTCGAGTCCAGCGGATCGGTGAACCGTCCAACCTTCTTTTTAACAAACTCCTTTCTTTGGTGATATTCGTGTTTTTAATCTTATTTTACTTTGTTTTGCGAGTGTACAGAGACGACCAACACGACACACGGCTTGACATCTATGCGCCGTACCACTTGACGCGCCAGCCTTCGATAATTCTTTCCCGTCTCGACGATCCCATTCGACCCCCTTTTTCTTCGTCGTAAGACATTTTTGGATACCGCAACACCAACGCGAAGCGCGACGATACATAGTCCTTTGCGATCACATATACACGGTTGCGTCCTAATCATACATACATCGACCCGGCTACCACGCGCCTCTCACCTATAAACACGCCGACGCAATGTGGTGGTGGGTCACGGCCCTCTCGGGCAGCATCACTCCCCTCTTCATCATCCTCTCGCCCATCCTCTCCTATGGTGACCAAGCGCACTCCATGCACAAGGCCAAGTCCAGCGCCGGCTTCTCTTTGGACATTCCCTTGATCATGCTTGTTGCCTCTTTGCTCAGGTTAGTTGCGCCCCAATTCCAAGGCCCGGATTGCGACTCGCGACTCCAGCTAACGCTCGAGATTCAACAGGATATTCTACTATCCCGGAGCCAAGTATGACACCGCCCTGCTCATCCAGTCCCTCATCATGGTCGGAGTTCAAATCGTGCTCCTCAAGGTCGCGCTGGACCACCGCCCTGCTCCGTCCTCCAGGGGAGGTGACTCCGCTGTTCCGTTCGCAAAGGCCCAAGACGAGGAATACCAGCGCCCATACAACTTCTGGCAGTGGAAGTCACCCAAGCCGTACGTGTTCCAATTGGTGATCTCTGTGTTGGAATACATGAAAGCTGACCCAGAAAAAACAGATACTGGCAATTCGTCCTCTACTTCTTCGCCGGCCTCGTCGTCTGCCAGATCCTTTTCTCGCCCTTCGAGTCCCTCTACATGTCCTACTCCTCGCTCATCGGCTACATCGGACTCTCCATCGAAGCGACCCTTCCCATCCCCCAGATCCTCGTCAACCACAAGTCTCGCTCGTGCAAGGGTTTCCGCGTGTCGGTCTTGGCCATGTGGCTGGCCGGTGACGCCATGAAGATGTTCTGGTTCTTCACCTCGGCTGGCGAGATCCCCTGGTCCTTCAAGGGCTGCGGCATCTTCCAGGCCTGCTGCGACTCCTACCTTGGCGTCCAGTATCTGATGTACGGAAGCGGCGAGGGTGTCTCGGGGGCTATTAAGGATCACCCGCTCGACGATTACCCCGTGCCTGGGAGCCATAGCGTGGTTACTGGCCGTGAGGGTGTTGCGGCGAGGCGGACGTCGAACGCGGCTGATAAGAGGATAATATAGAGGGTAGAGGATGATTTTTAGAGTATTATTATTAATGTAGAATGGCTGCGAGAAGGCCCCTTTTAGTTGCTCCTGGTCGGCACTGGCTTGGCAAAGCTGGTTATAGTTGAATATCCTTTGCATTTTCTTTCTTTCCCCGTCCCATATTCATCAGCCTCAAATCTTGCTCGCATTCTCATCCCTTGCACCAGAAGCGGTGGCCTGTCCATGTTCAAACCCGTTCTGTGCAACCAATCATGCGACCAGGATCTTGGATATTTTGTTTGCTTGGATTTGGAGACAGTCTTGTCAGATTGGCCGTGCAGGATTGATTGATTGAGTAATCTGTGTATACGACCGTGCCAGAAGGTTGGGGGTGTTCGAGATACTTAGAAGGGGTCCTTAGTACTAGAAATTAGATGGTTGGGAAGTTAACCTAGAAATGGCTACTTGTAAATCCACTTAAAAAACTAGATGGAAGTGAGGAGAGCAGGAATCGAACTCACAACCTTTCAGATGACACCAAAGATAAACCAAGCTTAGATCTTTCCAATTAAATATCTTCTATTAATTATTAAATTAACTATACAAAATTAATTAATTGAATAATTTGTATGTACGACCGTGCCAAAAGATTAGAAAGTGTTTGAAATATCTAGAAGAGAGTCCCTAGTGCTAAAAATTAGATAGTGGGGAGGCTAACCTAGAAATAGCTAGCTATAAATCCACCTACAAATCTAACAAGTCTTGGGTCGCGAATTTGTCAGGGGTGGACAGCTCACCCCTGTCTCTCTTTTGGCTGGTGAAGCTTTGGTAGTAGACGACACCTAGCCACGTCCGGATTACTGACTGAAGGAGCTTCAAACTCGCAAATTAAGCTTTGAGAAAGTTGTTTCAAGATGACAAGATACAAGAAGGTTTTCTATTATCTTTGTGTTCCCCGAAAACCCCCCAGAATCCTGACACGCAAGCGTCCGATATCTCCCCATCCAAGTCTCGGGCAAACAAATCTGAACCAACTCCCACCACCGAGTGGAGTGTGCAAAAAGAGCGGGCAGTCCACTCATCTTCCATCTCACGAGCGAGCAGAATTCGCTTGTTGCAGCCCAAAAAAAAAGTTCCCCCCTGATTGAGAAGAAGTGGGGGGCTGACAGAAAGTAAACAAAGCCTCGGGCCAAGCTTTATTGCTCTGGGCAACAACATCACACACACGCCAGACCTCAACCACTCTTTGTTTACATCACCAAAAGGGGGGGCTGCGGGCCAGTACTAGCCTCTCGGTTTCACTGGCAAAAACACTCGGCTTTTACATGCTCTACTTGGGTATCGAGCAACAATTCCTGCTCTGGGTGTTCATTTTACGATAGAGAAACACCTTGAAGACCGACAAACCCCGGATTTCGTGTCTGCTTGCCGAACGGACTGGATGCGCGTCTGGCGTTGAGTGTTAGCTGATTAACAGGTAAGTCATGGTCGATTTTAAATACAAGTTGTTCAATTCAAGAATTTGATTTCCTTCCGTTGCTTTGGTACTTCGTTTCCCTTTTTTTTTTCCAGTTCTTATTTACATGTGCTTCCTCTTGTTAAACATCGAATATGGGCATGCCGACATATGAACCGCATCCGAGATCGAGGTCTGCTCTTTGAGCACCTCTGGAATCAGGACTCTCCTCGCATACCCTCAGTATTCCTCAATCGCTTCCAATGCCCCGATATATCTCTCATGTTGATACAAGCCAAATTGTTGGCACTGTTCATTTGTTCCGAAGTCCATTATGGGGCTTTTTCCTCACCAGTTTCACCTCCCGAGTCTGTTTGATCCTGATCACCAAGGAATCTTCCGTTTTCCTTATCCATCCTACCCTCACAAATGAACTTTGGCTAACCATCGTCATCAGCGGCTACCTATCTGGCCTCAAATTCGAAACTCGGACCAAATTACGCTTCCACAGGGAGGTATGTTTGCTTTCCGAATTCTAGGCCTTCCACTTGCCGTCATCCATCGACCTCGAGGAACATCAGATGATAAAAGTTACCGGGGAAACCACATCCGATGTAAACCATCCCGTTGCCTATGACTCCCAAGTTCAATCTTTCACCGCGTAAACTTCTCGCTGTTTGGATTTTTATCTTTCACCCCACCTTCTCTGTTTTCTTTCTCCTTCTTCCACAAATACACGAGTACCGAGGAAGACCGCAGAGAGGAAAGCAACGAATACTTCAATGGTGGATCGGACGTATATATCTATACTTATTTGGTCTACCACAGCTAAATCATTTCCCGAACAAGACGCTCCAACTCTCTCGGAACCTGAACCAGGTCAGTGAACTTCAGCAGACTGTCAATCCTTTCGCCATTTACCGAGTTCGTACCCCGTCCGTCACTCTTGCGTCGCGATACCAACTGACAATCTCACAATAGAATCAAGATGCCGGCGAACTTTAAGACCTACGAGGCCCAGGCACGCCTTCTGGCCGCTGTTATCGCGGCCCATCCTGAGCTGAGGCTCAATCAAGGGTAAGAAACATATCATTTCTTTGTTCCTTCCTATCACTTCATCTCTCGACGTGGTCTGCTCCATGGCTCCCCACTCTCTCACGCGTCCAGCGCATCAAATATGAGCGTGTCAGAAAATCATCACCAGTCTCAGCTCTTCCAGTGGTCGAGTCCCAACTCAGGATGCTGATGAGATTCCAGCAATCGCGCAGCACTATGGAAAGACGGCGACCATGAGTGCTATTGAGCATCGCTTCCGCCCTGTCCGTAAGCAGGCGGATGGCTTGCGCCTTGCTGTTACCAGGGGCGATGATCCGGAGGAGGTTGACATCCACGAACCCCGCGGTATGAAGCACCTTGGTAACATCAACACCAGTCACTTCGTCATCATTCTTAAATATTTGGCCGTCTCAACTTTACTTGCAGCTCACATCATTCTCGTGGCCTTCCTGAACATGGCTAACACTGTCTTTCGCTCTAGAACTTGCCAAATACTTCGGCGAATCCACTGCGGACGGCCTGCAGTTCCAGTTTCGAGGCGTCAAACAGGCTGCCGAAGCCATGAGAAACGCAGCGGATAACGGCAACGACCCTGTTGAAGCTTTCAACAACGCCGGCTCAGGAGCCGCCAAAACCCCCTCAGGCCGCAAGCGCGGGCGTCAACCCGGCGGCACTCCGGCCTCAGGCAGGAGCCGCGGCGGTGGAACCCCGCCACGGGTAGAAGCACCAATACCACAGCGAAGCCGAGAAGATCCACGGCCAAAAAGGCCAGCTACGTAGAGCCGAAAACGACTACGGATAAGGACGAGTCGGCTGCCTCCGTTGATTACGACGCTTTGGACGATGACTCGCCGACCGGCCACTTGGCCAAGAAGACACGCACCACTCCGATCAAGACTGCTTTGCCTCCCAGACGCATGTCTGGTTCTGCCGCGCCGATCGCCCAGCCACTCTTCAAGACCGAGCCCCTCGATTATCTCGATGAGACCTTTGAGGTCAGCGATAGACTGCCTTCGCCGTCGCCCATGCCGCTGACCACTTCTGCAGCATCTGCTACTATCTCTGCTACCGGCAGCAATGCTGGTAATGGAGATTACTTTGGTTCTTCCAACACCATGGCCCGCAACGACCGCGCCGCATCCGAGTACCACACTCCCGCGCCCGAGTTCCCTCCCACTGCTCAAAGCCAGAGCCAGTCCCAGTCTCAGTCCATCTCCTACAGCAACGGCGCCGGCATGTCCTTCGACGGCGGAGTGTCTACCAGCTTTGCTTCTTCAACCACTAACATCTTTGGCGGCGGCGGCAACACCTCGGTCAGTAACAACTACAACACCTCACACGGCTTCCACAGCAACAGCAACGGCGGTGGATACTCCCAGCAGCAGTCCCAGCAAACTGCAGGCTACATCAACATCGTTAGTGACGACGAAGATGATCACTCGCAGTCGCAGGGTGCTCTTGGCGCCGCCGTTCAGCGTACAATGGTGCCATCTAACGGACACGGAGGACAGGGTCATGGACATCGAAACTTCAGCCAGCCTTCTTTTACCATGACTAATGCCGGCATGGGCGGCATGGGCGGCATGGGTAACATGGGAATGGGCATGAACCTGCCGAGCACCATGAACGGGAACGGCGGTGACATGGGGTCCTTCTACGTGGATGAGGATCAATATGAGATCTAAAGCATCCACGGCAGTTAACAGCAACCATCAGACCCCACTGACACCGACAACAACCACGTTTGCGATTATCTGAGCAATATTTTTTTTCTTCTTTCGGGTTTGTTCCTTCTTTTCTTTCGGCATTCAGCATTCGGGCTCATGGTCGGCCGGGTTACTAGGGAACGTGGGAACAAAAATCTTGCTTCTTTGCTTTCACACTCCCACAACACAAAACACAAAAACACAAAAACAAAAAAAAAGAACGGAAATTCAAAGATACGGAACAGTATGGAATGGGGTCACGGTCTTGCTATATCAGGAAACCTGGCTACCTTGAGGGACCTACGCAGCCAGTCCTGGTACTACATCAGGTCACCAGCAAGAAGAATCCCGCTACTCGGGCATGATACTTTCGGGACAAGAATACTTGCCATTTACCTACCTTATGGTATGCGATCGGGTTCGAAGCGTCTCGGGGTGTACATACAGTACAATTCTCGCGGGCATCCTGGAGATCGTTGAGGTTGGAAGATTAGAGCACCTTTAACCATCCAGCGAGGCGAGGGATACCCAGTCAGTCAGTCAGCCAGTCAGCCAGCCACTCAGCCATTCTTGCTTTTCAGCAGTAGCAGATCTCAGGTCCATCCTCAATTTCTTCTTCCGCTGCTTGTTTCTCGAGCATCAACCATCGAATTCTTTTCAGCCGCATTTCATCAAGCTCGACTGGATCTGTTCCGGGTTAGATAGGGCTTGGGAAGGGCGTTGAGGAGTTTGAGCGAGCTGGTCTGGTCGAGAGTTTTTTTGGAGGGCAAGGAGGAGGTCTGGCGATATCGCATTCGCATTCGGCGTGAGGTGGTGGTTGAAGGGACTTGACTGGAATGGAATGCAACTTAGTCATCAAACATGGGTGGGTGGTCGTTGGTTGAATGGCGAACGGCGAAATGGCGCATGGCGAATGGCGCATGGTGCATGGTGCATTTCAATGGGAGGGAGATCTTTCTTTCTTTGCGGTTATCTATTCAAGAAGATTCAGTGTTTGTAGAGATTCATGTATGTAGAGTAAAGAGATTCGCAAGTTAAGGGTTCGGCTTCTTAAAACCCGTTTTGCTCTGCGCAACTGAATTTGATAGTATGGAATCATGGTCCACTTGGTGTTTCTCTAATCAATGGAACTTACAAGTTCAACGTTACAGATCACAAGATGGAAAGGGAAGAGCATTAGGACAATCCAAAGGTTCCCAGATAACCACAAAGCAGTTGATAATTCTTCCACGCCTTTTCGTATCTTCACCCAATACAAGTGACACCTATAACTCTACCTATACAAAGACGAAAAGTAACAAACCCTCCCCTCAGTTTCACTTCATTGTACAACACATGTAACCCGTAACTTTTTTATGCTTGGTTCCGTCCAACCCAACCCGCCTCAGATGCATCTAATTTAAACCTGTCACTGTGAAACACCCTTCAATACTGTTGTGCTACTTCTTCCCCTCAGACCTTAGATGACGCAATCCCTTCCTTCCGTCATCAGTCAAATCTACTGAAACAACAACTCCCAAAGGCCGTCCCTCTCAACATAATCATGATGAATCACATTAACCAGCCAAAGATCCTCCTTCAAGTCCTCCAACAACTTCTGGGTGTCGGATCCCTTTTCGTAGATCTTGGCCCACTCACTCCAGATGCCAAACGCCTCCTCGCTCCAAGCACGGAAACTGACCTCCTCAATGATGGTCGGCGTCAGGATCTCCTTGCCGGGGAACACGCCCCAGGTGACGGCGTTGGTGCTAGGCTCGTGCGGCCTGCGGTCGGCCTCCGAAGTAGTGCCGTCCGCATCGGCGGCCATTCTCGCGCGGAAGTTGACCGTGTCGGTGCTGACAAAGTCGCCTGCGGCGTTGGTGGCATAGAAGCACACGACATCCTTCATGTCCGGCTGCTTCAGCTTCGCCTCGAGCGCCCGCCAGTCGGCCGAGGGGATGAAGAACTCGACAAAGGCTTTTTGGAACACGAAGCCGTTGTGGGGACCCCAACCGAAGGTGCCGTCGCTGGAGCGCAGGCCGTTCACGGCCGGCTGGGAGGCGAGCGACCACCAGCCCTTGGAGTTGAGCTTGATCAGGTTGTCCCGGATGGCTTCCGTCTCAGCGTTGAAGCCCTCTTCGCTCCAGGGAATGGCGGAAAGCTCACCCTTCAGATGACGGATGAGGATGTTGTTGATATCCTCTGTGGTCTTGGGGGAGCCCCACAGCTGGAGCGCCTGGGGCACGGTGACGTGCAGGCTGACGCCGTAGCCGTCGATTTGACCGTAGGCCGGAGACCTGGCGTCACCCCATCTACCGTTGGGGAAGTCATCCCACGTCGCTTCACGGCCCAAGACACCCTCGCCTTCGGAGATCGCCAGTGTGTTGGCTCTGGTGTTGACGGGTTCTGCCAGGAGACCGGCCTGTGAAGGCGAAGCCTCGTAATCAGGGTGCGAGGGTCTCGGGTTGGCCACAATAACCCGATCCCGCGGGTCGGAGCCAATTGAGCCTTTTCTAGTGGACAGCCCCTGAATCGAACGAGTTGGGACCGAAGACCCATTGATCATAAGTTGAGGGAAGTCCGGCAGGATGGCAGACTCGTCCTCTTCGGGCGTTCCAGGAGGAATGAGGTTCGTGCCTTCAGCGATAAATGCGACAGCCTTCTCCAGGTTCAGGGTATAGAAGTGGAAGCCTCGCGGGGTATGTGTCCTGCTCTTGATCTCCTTGATGCGCTCGATGATCTCGCTGACAATTGCAACACCTTCCATCTTGACCTTCTCATCGTCTCCCTTGACAGCGTCGAGGCGGGCCATAAGAGCCGGTGGGATCTTGGCGTGACTGAGTTTTGTCGTTCTCTTGATCATTTGGTAGCTCTGGATGGGCATAAGGCCGGGGATGATAAGGACGTCCTTGAAGGCGCCACTGGGGTGGCCTCGCAGAGTATTCTCGAAATGCTCGTAAGCGTCGATGTCGAAGAAGAGTTGTGTCATGATAAAATCGGCACCGGCCTGGACTTTTTCGACAAGATAAGGGAGATCATGCTCCAAGCTCTGCTCACGGGGGTGACTCTGATCTGCGTGGCCCTCGGGATAGGCGGCAACACCAATGCAGAAGTAGTCGCCGTGGTTCTTCTTGATATAGCGGACAAGGTCGGCGGCCCAGGAAAACTCCTCGTCATCGGTAGGTTCAGGGTCATTCTCATCGTGGTATTCGGCGGCCCTAGGGGGGTCGCCTCTGAGAGCAAGAATGTTGCGGATTCCGAGGACCTTTGCGTCCTCGAGAGTCTTGTCTAGCAAGCGGCGGCTCATGTTTGTGCATGTAAGATGGAGACATGTTGTGAGGCCGAGCTCGCGCTGGCAGATTTCGGCAAGCTCGAGAGACTTCTGGGCGGTTGAGCCTCCGGCGCCCCAGGTGACATTGACGAAAAGCGGCCTAAGTCCTCTGGCCATACGTTCGAGACGGTCGCGCAGGTTGGCAAAGCCCATTGCGGTCTTGGGAGGGAAGAACTCGAGCGAGAAGTAGTTGCTGTCGGGCGGTAAGGCCGCGACCTTGTCCGTGATCTTCTCCATTGTGGACGGTATCGTGCGTATTTCGGTTCTGTATGGCGATATTCTGTGTATATATGTCGTTAAAATGACCGTTGAGTATTGAACCTCAGCAGTGGTGTGTTGTTGTTGGTGGTTGTGGTGTTGAAGAGTGGTGACTCTTTGTCTGTAGGTAGAAACGGTGACTACCCCTGCTGCAAGGAGACAACCCTCCAGTGATTGTTGGGATGGCGGGGTCTTTCTTACTCCGCAGTCGGAGGTACACCTAGGCAAGTACTGTCTGACACTTTGATGATGTACCTCGTCTTCCAATTGCAAAGGCTAGAAAGTCTGTATTGAGCGTGAATCTTGGGATAAGGCACAAACTAAGGGCGACAAAGTCTACACAGATGAGAAACAAATTGCCATGTCCCGGTCAGGTGGTCACTAAGAAAAAAAAAGCCGAAAAGGATCAAAGGGGTCTGCCGTCACTTCTCCAAATGGTACCTTGTCTGGTCGGGAAAGCCTTTACCCCACTCCAGGGAAGGTTGTAGCGTGGGGTAGCTTGTCGAATCCCTTGGCCTCTTTGGCTCCCTGACGTAAGGAGGCCCTTCGAGGCAGCCAATGGTCGCGGTGACAGCGCGTTCCGTCGCCAGTGTGGAGAACGGCAGTTCTGTTTGCGCCGCCGAGATGCTGCTGAGGCTTGAAGGCAGCCCCAGACATTGATATTGAAAGCAAAAGATATCAAAGCATACCAGCAGCAATGCATTGCCATTCAAGGTAAGCGATTATATGGGAATGTATCAATGTTCCACTCATGATGAGGAAGTTGGTAGGACCAAAGAGTGACAGTTCTTGCAAGGTAAGTGAACTTGGGCTGAAAATAAGGCCAAGAAATCCAAACTGGCGGCAAACCTCAAAAAGTTGTGATATATCGTTACAATCATTGGCTCTAAATCCATTCGTGTTTCCCATCTCGACAATGAAGAGTTCCCGGTAACAGAAGCACTTACTGAACGCACCTACCTCTACCATATCGGTTACTTTCTTAGTACCCGACGCTGAGGATACATTGTCTGCCACCCTCCTCCCTCCTTTGTGACCAAGACCTCTTATGTTTCATCCGAGTCAGTTTGCAGTCAGCACTTAGACTTTCGAACGCCGGTCATCTCAAGTCTGGGCTCTCGAAAACCGCGATCGTGTTCCTGTAGGAATCTAGTAGAGAAGCAGCCGAGTTAGCCTCGAGCAACACAAAGCCACGTCAATTGAGAATCGGATTTGGTGTATCGCAGATTTCAGAATATGAATGCCATATCGACTCCTCATATTCAACCCATGACGTTGGACCCTCGCCCGTATCGCAAAATGTAACACGGACAGGTTCCGTCATTGTTGAATCGGTTTACCGGATGATGTTCGTATCATCATGAACGCGCATTGGGCCGCAGAAAACGAGAAGGCACACTGGGACTTACCATTCGTGGATCCGAGGTTCATGGCCATGTGTCTATCAACAATGGATGGAGAGCCCGATGTACAATGAATGCGATGCACATTACAGGGTACGGCCTCGATCCATGGTTTCATCCTGACGGCAACAAGCAGGAGGGGATACGCAGCACAACTACCAGCAGCGAGCCAGATACAAGAACATTGTGGTATAGGAATAGGAGATGTCCGGATCTTGTTTCAGGTCATCATCGCATCATGGACGCCGCGCAAATGGGGCTCTCGTGATGATGGTTTTAAACAAGGGCAATTTAGAGGAGTTCTTCTTGACTTCACAATCCGTATCGTCGGTCGCGCGGAAGCGATCAGGTGCAGCCCAACGGTGTTTTATGGATTTGTGGTCGTGATTGTGAAGAAGAAGAAGAGGAGGAAAGGAGAATGAAATTTGTCGCGCCATTTTGAGTTGAAATCTTGCACGTTCCACCGGCGGGTCTGCTCTTACTGCCGCCGCTCACCGCCCATAACGTTGCTGGTGCTGCCCTGCAAGCATGCACCGCTGGAAGTGACCAGTCACGTTGCATGGAATCCCGACAGCATCTGGCAGGGTGGGGCTTTCTGAGCTTCCAGCGACGATGTTCTCAGGGAACGGGCAGGCAGGGGGGCAGGGAGAGAGGGACGGCTGGACGGCTCACCGGATACACAGGAAGGAAAATGACAGCGACGAACACTGCACCGAGAGTGAGAGTTAAGCACCTCGACAATCCCTTTAGCGGTGAAATTGAACCATTTTGTACTAAGGCCTCTGGAAGGACAGCCAATTGGCTATTTAAATCCACATTAACATTTGTACCTATACAGATATCTTGATTTTACCTGCTTTTGCAGCACTTTTGACATTGCACTAGATGTGGAGCATACAGAATAGAATGTAGGAAAGAAGTGAACTAATAAATTTTGAATTAAGTAACACTATTCCTAAATCTAACTAGCGTAAATAAACTATCTAATAACAGTCTCACTTATAAATACTAATATTGCAAGTAATATAGCGTAGGAAAGTCATAGTTTACTTTTTATCTAACACGCTAGGTGTTATGGCGCTGGCAGACTACTACACTACTAGGTTATATTTCAAAAGGATACAAATAACTAAAGCTGGCAGTTTAGTCGCTCGAGTAGTCTTATATAGTTTGTTCCGGAAGAAGCACCTGAGTGCATTCTATGACAATAACCTTTTTATTATAACACTATTGCTAATCGAAAAAAATATTCGCCGAACGTACAAACATAATAGTTAATACTGTAAAATATTAACTAATTAGAAATATGGACTGTTACTTTATTCTTACTAGTATACTTTATTATTTTCTTATTGCTAGTGAAATTTTATAGTGGGGTACGTATTTTAATATAGATTTTTTAAATATATTTATTAAATTTGCAGATTTTATCCTATAAATCAAAATTCTTTTAAAAGAGATCCTATATATAGAACCGCTGCAATAATATTTCAAATTGAAAGAAAAGTATTTAATCATAAATAAAGTAATTCGAGCGCTCTTCTTTCTTCTACTAATATAATAGGAAGTTTAATTTAATATAAAGACTAATACATCGTAATGTAATAAGCAAAGCATATAATTCTTTTATATACGTTAGTAACTATTTGGTACTAGAGGAGTAAAAGTCGTCATTGCTTAGTAACGAAATTTTTTAAATGTTGGTCCAAATAATTTACTACTTTACCTTACAGCGGGAAAAACATTTGAAAAATGCTGATAAAAGAGAAATAAGAACGCTGTTAAAGTATATTTCTGTTATGAATATACTATTATTGCTACGAATAAGTTCGAAGAGAAAATTGTACAAATTAAATGTATTAATATAAAAATACTGTAGTTTGAATGGTATAAGCCTTATAGTTTTAATTGGTATATTATTAGGAAAATTAATTATTGAATATTGGATCGGACGATTTTATTTGCTTAGGCGGCGCTAATTTACTATAAGAAGTTTATTACTAGAGATAAGGTTACTTGGTAGTCTAGAAAAACTATCGTCGCGGATTTTGTCGTCGCAATCATCTTTAAAATTAATTATTAAATTATGACAAGCTAAGGTACATATACCCAGACGGCCAAACTTACAAAAGATAGGACGATGTTCTGCTTGCAAAGCAGAACTTGGAATACATACTATATAGCCAATGTCAACCTGTATCACTATCTACTTTTAAAGTGAAGTTATCTTTTAATAATCTTCAAGATAAGGCCCCGGCTCCGGCCCCATTTCTGAGGATAACAATGTCGCAGAGGATTTATCGCAATGTGATGGGCTTATATAGCACTACCTAAAAATTCAACTTCCTGCTAAGTTGGACATTTTCCAATGAGCCAATACGTGGCATTTCAGTACTCTTCGATTTGCATCCATAGCCCTCAATTGCTATTGCATTCTTAGGAGCTGCGCTTGATTAAGTGCCAACAAGAGTATCTCAAAATCGCCCTAGAAATTGCCATGGTCGGGAATCGAACCCACCGTTTAAGCAGAACATACTATAACAGGCTAGGGTACATATGCTCAGACAGCCAAATCTACAAAAGATAGGATAATGTTCTGCTTGCAAGGTAGAACTCGGAATGCACACTATATGGCCAATGTTAACGTATGACAAAAATTACACTTATTAGCGTTAGTATTTAGCTTTAATTAATCTGAATAGAGATATATCTTTCTATTACATAACTAATTAGCGAGATAAAAAGGGTCGCTAATACAATAATTATTTATAGAAAGCTTATTACAATTCAAATTATTAAATAAATTTATTGCTATAATACCAATAAAAGCTTAGCAAGGCTTGATAATATTTTTATTTAATATCTTAAAAAGCATTCAAAGTAGATACAATCTAGTAAATCTATTCTCATCCTTAATAAATAATATAAAATCACTGATTTTATTAGCAAAAAGTACACATTTAACATCGTTGATTGATTGTATGGACAAGCCTGTTAGCGAGCTTGGCAACCCCTCTCGAAGTCGCCTCGAAGTCACGAAGTATAGCAGGTAGAAGAAGGCTTGGCAAAAAGTGGTTCAATTTCACTGCTAAAGGGATGAGAGACCCGTGATAGTGGATGGTGGACCCGCCACTGCGCGGACCACTTCGCCCTCGGTCGCTGCCACTGGCCACTGACGGGCTGGGTTTTTGGTGGTCTCTCGGTCGCAGATGGGCGCCCACTGTTCGCCTCGGGGCCTTTGCGGTCCATAGGTCAAGATTTGTTCTTCCTTTTTCACGATTTCCGAATTCCATCCACTCCATCGATCTGATCCAACGTCCCAAGCAAAACCTCCAAAACCCGTCATCCCGCCTCGCCCTCCAACCAATCCTATTCAACCACCATCTATCACGCATCCCAAAGCCCAAATTCCCGTCCGTGTCGGATCGACCTCAAGCCTCCGTCTGCAATCCAGGAACGCCTGTACCTGCACTCGCCTGCCCCCCCCCCCCCCCCCC